CGGGGCCTTCGGAGGGTGAAGGTACAACTGATCATGTTTTTCACTCTTATTTCAGTTCTCTGGTGGACCCTGCAGGCTGATTCACTCAACATGTGTGCCGAGCCCCTCCTTCTGTGCTTCGCTGCATGGGAGTCTCTGGAAAAAACTGAAACCTGCACCTTCCTGACTCCCTTGCAGCCAGGGTTCTGCCAGTGGCCTCAGCTCCTCTGGACAGATGCCTGCCCGAGATTTAAAAGGTGGAAGTTAGGGGCTGGCCCCGTGGCCGAGTGGTTAAGTTCGCGTGCTCCGCTGCAGGGAGCCCAGTGTTTCGTTGGTTCGAATCCTGGGCGCGGACATGGCACTGCTCATCAGACCACGCTGAGGCAGCGTCCCACATGCCACAACTAGAAGAACCCACAACGAAGAATATACAACTATGTACCGGGGGGCTTTGGGGAGAAAAAGGTAATAATAAAATCTTTAAAAAAAAAAAAAGGTGGAAGGGAGCCCCCCAAGGTGGTGGAGGATGGGGCTCCTGGCTGGCAGGGAACAGAGGGTCCGGTTCTCCCACAGCAGCATGCTCCAGTGTCTGGGCCTGAGCATCACAGGCAGTGGGGTTTCCACGGCAACAGTCGAGGGCAGGCTTACTGATTGTCCAGGTGACTGTTAGTGTTGTCCGTGGCCATGGGGCATCCAAGCTTGGTCCCCTGGTAGTCCTGGCATCTCAGTCCTAGCACCCATGAACAGATTCCCCTCTGCTCAAACCAGAAAGAATGGATTCTGTCGTCTGCAACTAATCACTGAGACTGGCACAAGTTCAGATTCTGAAATCACCTCTATTGTTTGTCTCGTGTGAAAAAAATACAGGAAAGTTTAAGAAAAATAAGTAAAAATCTTCTATAATCCCACTGCCTGGAAGTAATCACTGTAATATTTTTGCATGTTTCCTTCCGGACTTTGCATTCTATCCATTTTGTTATATGGTCAAAATGACGGTTTATATCATCCTATGCCAGCTTTGCTCACTCAGCAGGGAGTGTAAAAACGTCCCAGTCACCTTGTCCACGAGGCCTGCAGCAGCTTTCTAAACTAAGTCAGTTTCCTCTTTACCCACACTTACTTTTTTTAAACCATATTCTTGAGGTATGATCGACATGCAAAAGCTGTGCAGATTTAACACACACAATTTGATGACTTTGGAGATGAGTATTCATCTGTGAAAGCATCACTACCATCTATGCCATGAACGTATCCATCACCTCCAGAAGTTTCCTCCACCCTTTTTATTTATTACTGTGTGTGTGTGTGATAAGAATATCTAACATAAGATTTACCCTCTGAGCAAAGTTTTAAATACAACACCCAGCACTAGTACCCAGAGGCACAGTAGCTCTCCAGGACATGGTCACCTTGAGTAACTGACACTGACAACCCTTTGACTGACACCTCTCCATTTCCCCTTTCCCCAGCCCCTGGCAACCACCACTCTACTCTCTTCTTCTGTAAGTCTGACTGTTTTAGATGCCTCAAGTAAGTGGTATTATGTAGTATTTCTCCTTCTATGTCTGCCTTCCTTCACTTAGCATAACGTCTTCCAGACTCACCCAAGCTGTTAAAATGGCACGATTTCCTTCTTTTTTCAAGGATGAATAATATTCCATTATGTGTGGCTAGTGGCTACCATGTGGGAACTCACAGTTCTAAAAAACAAACTAAACATCAAGAACAATTGCCCCAGGACAAATTAAGACAAATATCAAACGATCTGCAACCCAGAACAAAATAGGAACATTAAAAAAGCCCTAAATATTAAGGACTGTGGGCCTTATTCTTCGTTCATCCAACAAGCATTTATTAACTACCTTCTATGAGCATGTCATGGGCCTCAACATCAGAGAGGACACAAACAGCCCGGGACAGGCACATCATATTTCATTTACTAAGTACAGAATGAATTCAAGGCAACTCGAAATTGAGCGTCAAATAGTGTAGAGAAGGCTAACTCCAGCCTCTAGTGGCTGTGCTTCAAAATTCCACTTGCAAGTCAAACACACTGCACATAAAATGCATTTCCCCACAGCGGCAGTTTGTAGAGCATGGTTAGGTGTTTAAATTGGCTCCTAAAAGTTGACTGGACTCATAATAAAACTGAAATATTACAGAGTTTCAATTTTAAGTCAAAAATCAAAACTATGAGTTTTGTTTTTCCAACAGCATAACATTTGAATAAACATACTCAAACATGTTTTTAATGGACACACGGTCCTTAAGGCCTTCAGCAGGGCTGACCAGGCTTAAAGCTCAGCCTTATTTAAGCCACTGAAAGTCTAAAAGGAGGAATAAGCTGCAATGCTGACCTCAAAGCCAGATGCACTGTGGGCCTCGGCTGACGAGTGCTCTTCAGCCCAAAGAGGAAACTCTATTTTCAGACTTTCTTCCTCTCGGAGTCAAAATACTCTCCCTCTGATCAAGAGGTGAGATGAAGAGGAAAACAGAAGTCCTGACAACAGATGGGGGATCTGGATTCCTAGGTGGGGATGAGCAAGTAAGGGATGCCACAACATAAAGGGAGAGGCAGGATACAGCAGAGTGAGTCCCAGAGCCAGCAGGGGGCCAGCCTTGCTTGACTGGGGAAGGGAAGGCAGAGGGACTAAGAGTAAGAATAACGGGGCTGGAGGGAGGGTTGGTGCTAGGGGTACTGAGTATTTAGGGACAAGGAGAACTGAAAGGAGAGGCTCAGGATAGCATCCTCATTTGAATCTAAAGGTCCCATTTAAGGGCATTTGAGAACAGAAAACTGCTGCTGCTAATGATGATGGTGATAATGGTGATGACAGCATCTAAGAGTTGACATTTACCATTTTCTACACAAGACAAACCGTTCAAAGTTATTCACATATATATTGTTATGTAATCCTCATTTAAGGGGAAAGGTCTCCATGCAGTGGAGAGTTCTGAACAGAACCCTGAGGAAAGAGTCGGAGAGCCAGAAAGGAGGGGAGGGGACTTGCCAAAGAAGGAAAACAAAACACACTTGTTGGCACTTTAACTTTATCCAATATACTCTGTCAGTTTTAACAACCACTCCTTTCTTATTCGGTCTCAGACCAAATAACTAAGACTACACCTGTCTTTCTAAAACCAAGAGCCAGACTCTCACTGGAGGCTCAAACAATATTTGTAGATAACGATAATGACACGCTTTTAGAGCCCAACAAACCTGAGTTCAAGTCACAGTCTGAGGCTCTTAATAGTTCTTAACCGTTAGTAGTTGACCTTGGGCAAATTATTTTTTAACCCTTCTGAATGCTGTCTTTATCATTCTCACAAAGGAGAATGAGCTAAAAAAACTATCAAATGTCCTAAGTATCCATTTGCCCACCTCTCAGAAACCCACTCTCTCATTGCCAGAAAGCTCCACAGAAAGCAAAATAATCCCTCTCCCAAAAAAACAAAAACAAAAAATCCTCATCACACACCTACCCTCGTCTTAGAAATCAGGAGAACTCAGCATGACCCACCAACAGGAACTAAGATTGGTACTGCGACACTGTGCCCCTTTCTCACCCTCCAAATGTGAGAGGAGTCACAAACAGAAGCTGTGCCCTGCTCCCTTCCGTAAAGAAAGCCCAGCCTGACTCTGGCCTCAAACTGCACCAAGCACTCCTGAGGATTCAGAGGATGTCTCAAATTTACCTAGCCCTCACAAGGTGATAACAGCTACCATCTACCATGCATGCAAAAGATCCAATTGGAAACTGAGGATTTCAAAACAAAGTATCTAAATAGCGTCAGGATGGTCTCCGTGAGGTGGGTCATTTACCAACTCTCTGACTCCTTTTCACTCCCAGGAACATCGGAGGATCCATGATATTGGAAAAAATGGAGGTATGAACAATACAAACTAACAAACAGCACAACATTCCCCTAAGTACTCTGGCTCTGGAACACGTGACATTCACAGAGGTTGTCTCTCCAGCTCTGGGTCACCCAGAGCAGTGCAGCCTCATCTACTCACTTGCAGCTTGGGCTTGGCTAGAAAGACCCCATCACGGTGCCCATGGCGTGCAACCGTCCAGCTGCACAGGGCCCCCACAGGCAGAAGGGCCCCACACTTGGTTGTTGTTGCTGTCTTGAAATTCTTGACAATTAATCATTATTAATAATTCTTAACAAGGGGCCCTGCATTTTCATTTATATTGGGTCCCATAAATTACGTAGCTGCTCTGGTACTGCCTGACTCAGAAGAGGAGTTCAATTCACAGCAGCAACTTGTCAGCTGTGGGGGCAGTCGACACACCAGGTGGCTTAGGGACAGAACTAACAACTAGTTAGAAAACAGACTAGTTTTCATCCTTGGGAAGGAAGGACTTGACCCCACACTACTCCCTCAAAAACAAAAACAGAGTGGTGATTGCAATTCCATTTGAAAGATGGAATAATTAAGCCAATTAAGCCTAATTTCCGCTGGTTCCATTACCCCAGAGGGGGAAGCCATCGGGTGCTCATTTAGGGAGACACTAGGTGGTAGTGCTGTTAGTTCCAGCCACCCAAGGAGGGTTGGGTTGTGAGGCAGCGCACAGCAACCACTTCCAGCATAAAGGAAGAAGCACAAGGAGGCACACTCACATCAAGGAGTCAGTCACCCTAAGTAGAAAACGCAGGACATGAACGAAGGTCAACACCCAGGGTCAACCAAAAATTCAGTGAGGAGAAGCACTTCCGTGTGTGTGTTTCACATAAAACCTGAGCATCTAAGATTGCTTTTTTAAAAATTAGAGACTTTTTTAAGAAGTAACAAACCATTTCTAAATTCTTTTTTCTGGTTAGGACAATTCTTCACAGGAAACCAAAACTCTTATTCTAACACTTAAGGAAGTAAAACTGCTATAACTGCTTTCAATTCTTTAGTTTATCTAAAGATTTCAACAAATGGCGGGGGCACACAGTGCAGACACTCCCCCGCTGCTGCAAATGCCCTGAACACCCCAACCCCCAAGGAAGGCAGAGCCAGGGCTCCCTGTTACGCCCGCAATTCCAGAGAGGAATTTCAAAGGTCAGGTCTCTAGCACCATCAGGAAACTTGGCTAACAACTTGAGAGAGAAAAGCCCCTGACTCTGGAAATCTAGGGCCAAAAACAGCAAAGTCAATCAGGTAAAAGTCAACCAAGTTAATCGCAATGAAGCCATTCAAATTAGCTTTTCTTTCCAATGGTTCTAAAAAACAGACACTTTAGACAGGGTCCCATCCATTACCTGCCATATTCCAAAAGTGCAGCATGGATTCGAGATTCTTCATCAAGCAGCTCCTCTGCTCCCTGCTGGCGTTTGTATTTCCGACGGGGCTTGTAAACATCCTAAGAAGTGGAGGAGACAGGGCAGGTACTGCGTGTGAGAAGGCTCTCCTCCTGAGCTGGCTGCCAGATGCGTCCAGTCAGGCAGGGAGCGAGTCCTTCCCCATCATGGCGAGCGCGCAGCTCTCCTGCGGGTCCACAGGGCGCACTCAGGGTCACTGCCTTCAAGGAGTCTGCTCCTTTGACTTCCATACAGGTAGAAGTATTTCCACCCAATCTATTGTGTGCCAACTTTGTTTCAACTTGGCGGGTTTTTTTGGTCCTATGACATTTTCATATTTTATGTAGTCAAAGTTATTAATCATTTTATATCTTACTTCCTATCCTAGGGATTGCGAAAAAAATTCTGGTATCTTACTTTTGTAATTTATATTTAGCTCTTTCATCCATCCAGATTTTCTTTTTTTTGGTACAGTGAAAGGTAGGGATATTTTTTCCTGAATGGAAAATTAAGAATCCCAGCATTATCACTGTAATAGTCATTCTTCCCTGATTTGAAATGGCATGCATATTTAACACAGGCCAATATTATCCTCTTCAATTGCTCTTGCTTTATGAGTCTCTATCATGTCTCCACTGTCCTTTTTCAAATTTCCTGACTATTCTTACACATTTTCTCTTCCAAATGAATCACAGTATCAGCTTGTCAAGTTCATTATGGAAAGCTATTGTTTTGATTAGTATCACCTCAAATTTATAGGTTTCTTCGGGAAGAATCAACATCTTTATAATATTGAGTGTTGCACTGACAAACAAGGTTTCTCTCTCTATTCAAATCTTTTTTATTCCTCAATAAAATTTTCCAGAAAAAATACAAATTTTGCACAGTCACTACATATCCAGACCTTTCCACCACCCAGCGTGGCAAACCAGTTCAACAATCACAGACATATATATGTTAACCCAGAATCCTTACAAAAAAGTCCTGAAATGGCAAAGGAGATGTCAATTCTTAGGCTCTAATACAAGAAAAGGAGAGTGGATACAAATCCTTCAGAGATACATATCTTTTTTTATAAAAGTGTTTCAAGGTTTATCCTCAAAAAGATGTATGAAAACATAAAATGCGCTATAAATTTTCACTGACGTTTTAAATTACTAGAGTGTGATTTATTTATAAATGCAGAAGAAAATATAGATCTATTTTGTGTAGGACACCTTCTGAAACTATATATCTATATATATATCTACATATACATCTCTTTTATATATATATATCTTTTCTCTTTCTGTCTTTCCCTATCTTCTAAACAAAGCATACGGCATGTAACAGGTGCTCAATTAATGTTGGTCTTCACCTCCAGATAACCTGGTTTGTCATTCTACCCCAAATAAATGTCCTTGTTGACTGCCAAGCTAGCAGTCAAATAATACCTTAGTAATATTTTCTCAAGGCTCTGGGTACAAATAGGCAGCTGTTTACACAACCAAGTTATTCCATTTGTTTCTGGACCTTTTCTTCTCCACCACCAGAGTTCAACACATCTAATCTTTACCCGGACAACACCAAGACAAGTGTTACTGTTAGGCTTCTCCAGATAGTGGCATTTTTATTCTAATTAGAATTGTTCCCCCCTTGATAACTCTAGTTAATTTTATTATTTTACTTTTTATTATGAAAAGTTTCAAACATACAGAAAAACATTTGTTCTACAACACATACTACAGAATCTCAACAATTTTGTAGAAAAGGAATGGAAAAGAGTCCGGGATGATGCTGAAGGTTGTTCTTATAATTGCTGCCACAAACATTCCCTAGTTTGCTGCTAGTGTCTACATGAATAGGAAACTATAAATAACATAAAACAAATTTATAGGGAAAGGAAAATATAATTAACCCATATGATGTCACTTACTGTGTATGGTTTAATTGAGCTCGGCTACTGTAGCAGTGCCATATAATTGAGCTTAACTGCTATCTTCCTTAGTTACCACAGTCAACGACCTGAGACAGGAAACTGGATTCTACCAAAGAAGACTGACTCCAAAACGAGAGCATACTGAAACCAACAGCTACAAAGACCTTCTATTCTGGCAAACAATGACAACGTTGGCCATTATGTAATTACTCCTTATACTTTAAAGCACCCCATATGCACCTCACCTTTTGCATTTTATAATTACTCTATGAAGTACAGGCAAGGCAGATGCTGTTACCTCCACTTCACTACTGAAGAAGCAGAGATTAAATAATTTGTCCAGGATCTCTAGAATAGTATCAAGCGTAGCCCTGGGTACCCTGGCTGCCAGTCCCAAGGTTTTTCCACTACACTAACTTGCTTCTGGTGGGCATTCTAGTCCCCCACCAGCCATTTCCGCTGAGCCCCCTCACAAGACTCACTGCACAAGGTGAGGCTGCCACATGGATCGTTACAATGGTTTGCTTAGGGACCTAAATGTTATAGAGGTTTCCAGGCCAACTGTAAAAGAACTACTGCCGAGTCACCCTTCGCAGCAATAGGAGGCAGGAACACTGATGTCTAGTCCCATCTCTGCCACTAACTAGCTCTATGACCTTGGGAAAGGCAGCTCCTCTCATTGGGCCTATTTCTTCATCTGTAAAATGAAGGTTGGACTAACAGATCTTGAAGGATACTCCCAGTCTCTCATTCTTCATGTTCTTTTAATCCTGCAAAGACAGTGACGTGGTAACATAATTCCATCAATAATTTAAAGTCTGTGATTAATTAAAAAACTGCTTTACACTTGATTGTGTTTTTAAAAAAGAAACAGAATCAACTTATCTTTTGCCATTGATAGTGGGAGCAATAGTAATGGCGATCATTTATTGAACGCTGGGTCTGTGCCAGGTGTATACTGCTCTCTATGTGCTGCTCATTTGCTCCTCGCACCTACGAGGGTAGCTATCCTTGTTTTCCTTGTACAGATGATGAAACAGGCACAGAGAGGTTAGACAGCTTGCCCGTGGGGACAAAGGTGGTAAATGATAGAGGCAGGATCACTCCAGAACTGGGACTCTGCAAGGTGTTTGATACCCCAACTTTGACCACACGTCATGGTGGGTTCTGATCATTTGTCTCAGTAGATGCTAAAGGACACATGCATGGGATTAAAAAATTAAGGGGAGTCCTTTGTAAAGCAGAGGTTCTTGCACTGTGAGAGTCACACGTCTCTATTTAGCAGGTTCACCGGTGAGAGCAACTGCTCTGAATCACATCCAAACACCAGGGTGAGGGAGTAGGAGAGCACAGCGCCATGGCAGTGTCTGCGGCAAAGCCCTGATTGCTGCCCCTCACAACTCCTTTATGACCTAAAGGAGCAGGCAGTGAAACAGTCACTACCAACTTGGCATCCTACACTCCAAAGCTCCAGTGGGCCAGACCACACCCAACCCAGCAGGAAGCGACACCCCTGAGTTGCCTCCACTGACCTCAACAGCTCACTGTCACAGGGCTCAACAGGCCAAACCCATAACAGACACGCCTCAGCCCGGGAGCCCCGTGAACAAACTGGCTTCCACCTAAAGGGGCTCCACAGACGTTTCCAACACCAAGGGCAAAGTCCTGAAAGATCCCATGAGAAAAAGTTATAACTGAGACAAATACATTTGTTTGCTTTTTCATTCTCACATTAATAAAACAACAACAAACAGAACAAAGCCCCTGGGGACTGAGCGAAGGAAATGATGAGAGATGGACGGACGGCGATCATTTCTGAAGAGAGGAACATGTCTATAGACAGGAAAGTTAGCTGGGGAGGCAGATTTCTCCAGACACCCCAAGCCTTAATTCTTTTCTCTTCTCTTTTACATGAGCCCTGCAGGCATGTCTCTGCTCTGAGGTCCAGCACAAGTCCCGCCTCGGGTCTCCTTGAGTCTGTACCAAACAGTATAACTTAGTAAATAAGAATCAGGTCACTGCATTATATATATGAGCCACAGACGGCTTCTGGATGTTTGCTCCAAGGTTTATTTCTTCACAGCAGGCTGAGACCTGTTGGCTCAAAAGCCTGCCAGTGCCAAACTCAAATTTTTACACAGCCAATTGTCTTAAACATGCCCCAAATAAGCAGACTCTTAGCCACTTACGGTCTGGGTACATTGCATACTCTGTGAAACTGCACCTAGCACATGCTAACCATGCAGGATAAGTCCTGGGGCTATAAAGAACCCAAGCCCTTCAGACACCTCTAACCCAGAGACCTCCCTTTGTGCTGCTGAGCAACATCACCTAGACACTGAAACTTCCTCTTTGATACCCCGGGGGGGGGGGGTCCCTTCTTCCCTTCCCCTTCTGGATGGTGGCCCCTGTGCCTAAGCCTCTGGATGGCCACACGTTGTGAGAGACTCCCTCACTGCGCATGCAAACCTGTCAAAGCACAGCCCAAATAAAGCTTGTGTGCGCTACTGCCACCTTGTGGTCCCCAAACCCCGAATCTCTTACTGGAATGTCCCTGCTTATACTCCAGCTCCTGGAATGTGGTCTGGCACACAGTGAGTGCTCAATTACTATTACTGAATGGGAGCCTGGCCCCGTGGCTGAAAAGTTAAGTTCGCGTGCTCTGCTTCGGTGGACCAGGTTTTGCTGGTTCGGGTCTTGGGCGCGGCCCTAGCACTGCTCATCAGAGCCAGAATGACCTACAACTAGAGTGTACAACTATGTACTGGGGGGCTTTGGTGAGAGGAAGAAGAAGAAGAAAAGACTGACAACAGATGTTAGCTCAGATGCCAATCTTAAAACATATGTATTATTGAATGAATACATGGGGTCAGACAGATAAGGTTTTAGTCCCTGCTCCAATACTCACTACCTGTCTGATTTAGGGCGAGTTATTTTAAGCTCTGGTTTTCTATCTGTAAAACAGGTATAAGTAAAGTTATTGTGAGGATTAATCAATCAATATATTTCACGGTATCTGACAAATAATAAAGGATAAGACATATATTTTTTGCATATTTTTATCAGACATCTGCTGAATGAAGAGGCCCTCCTCACAGAATGCCCTACGGAAGAACACACTGGAGTAGTAATTTTAAATGACCT